TTGCACTTAATAGCCAATCAGATTTTAGATAGTCACCAGTTTCACCAGCACAATTTAGTTTCACCAGCAACTCTAGTATATACACATGGTGTACAAATAGCAATCGTTTTGTAAAAATTCAGTTTTTAACTTTAATATTAAAAGAAGTTTTTAAAAAATTGTAAGCTTTAATATATTGTAATCACAAGTAATAATCATCCAAGCCAAATTAACTTATATAGTAACAAGATACAGTATATAAAAAAATATAAAATTTTATAATATATAGTTAAAAATAAAAAATCGTGTAACGGTATCAAAATTAAAGGTTTTCAAATAAATTTAATTTGTTACACAATATTTTAACAAATTTATAACTTTGCTTTTGACAATTTTATAATTTTGCCTTTGTATATCGAGATATGGCTATGTATAATAATGTGTACGTACGTAGCAGCCAATCCAATCACGTGAAGAGTCAAGATATTGTTCATGGCAAATCTTATATATAACGATAATGAATGACACGTATAAATATATTATTTATCCTATAAGTATACACAATTTTCAGTTTGTGTGGCGCAAAACTTGGTTCTTTTTTTTTTTTTTACTTTTCTGCTATAGATAATATACCAGGAGGGTTTTTATCAGAAACGTTGCTGCATAATTTGCAGCAAAACTTGGCCACTAGAGTTTGGGAATAGTCAAGAAAACACCGACTGTACGAATTCGTAAGTTCCACTTAGAAAAATAAGGGATCCCGATGTGCCCATATGTTGTAAAGCTCTTTATATAATCAAAGAAAATTTCTAAATCTGTAGGTAACCTCTAAAAGTTTATACTACCGACAATAAGCCTTGTACAGCTAATATAAAAACTAAATATTTGTCAGCACGAGTTATTTATATATATTTGTCGGTCTACTTGTAAATATATATCTTTGTCTTGTAACTTCAATATACATATATATATATGTATATATATTAAATGAAAAAAGAAAAAGATTCCATAATCTAAAATCAATACTTCAATTTATTACCTCAGTAGGAAAATATGGGACAGAGTCTTTCCTCTTCAACAAACAACCAAGATCAAGATGGAGATGTTATAATGGTTGACGATTCAGAGACAAGCGTTGAGGATGCTAATGGTTCAGAATACACATATAATAGTCAAACTGGTCCCACAACGTCTTTACGACGGCCACGTCCACACTCCAACGTAGCCGTTTCCGAAGATCGGACTCAACCTCCACAATCTTCACAAAATGGCTCACCTAGGGTTTTGCGTATGACACCGGCTAGACGCAGGCGACAGCTTTCCAGCATTTATCCATTTTTTCCTTCCGCAACAACTGCCAATCAAACACAGGTTCCACTTAGCAGACCACTCACCCGTCTTCAACGGCTTCATCATAATTCAGTAGATGATGTGTCATTAGCACCTAGACAAACCGATGCAATAGCTCCCAACATACTACGACGAAGTCGCACAAGATCTTCTAGCTATAACGGGCACGATGCTGATGTGATGAATGGGCTAGATGCTAATAATTCCAATAATCGTTATTCGTTGCCAACAGTAGAAACAGTGTTTGACGTGCGGCGTCCTCGTTCTAATTCAGTGGACGTGATCCTGAATGGAAATTTGGATGAGGATATTAGATCAAATCTTCGTGTATCTGATCGCCCGCGTCGATCTAGCACTAATCGCGGATCATCGTCTCGTCCTTATTCATCGTATACAACATCATTACCTAATGCATCTGATACTAGCTCAAATTCATCCACCGCTGGTACTCAAACAGATTCTTCGACAGCTTCTCCACAACGTTTGAGACGAAGGCTAACTCGAATTTCTGCGCGAAGATTATTTAATGTGGGGGGGCCTGATTCTGAAAGCAATAATAATTCTAATAACAACAACGAGGATAATGATGCAGAAAATCAAGTTCTGGGCCGTTTATTGTCTATGGCAGCGGCTGCAACAGCGCGATCGCTTGTTGAAAGCCAGGAAAATGCGGTAATTGAAGCCGAACGTGCTGCCAGTGAGGGTCATGATGGAAGTTTTGAAAGTTTCTTAGCTGCTTTACAGAGAAGACGTCGGGAAGCTTCTAATAGACCTTCAAAT